TATATATATATATATATATATATATGTATGTATATTAGATTACTAACTTCAATTATTTTTCGCGAGATTAACTTCATTAATTATTTTTCTTTTTTCAGAATAACTTCATCAATTCCTCTACGTAGGTGGTATTTGCAATTTTTTTAAACGCGGGCAAAAAAATTTACTTTACTTAAATTAAGAATGGAGTGGTTAAAAAACTGGGTAAAATAATTTTGAATAACACTGTATCCTATATAAATAGTAAAAGCATTTAATTATGCTATAATAGAATACACGATTGATTTTATTTTCTGTTAAGGGAGAATTCATTATAAAGAAATTACATACATGTTAGCCGAGTCTCTCTCACATAAAAGATTAACTTCATTTTCAATCAAAAATTTAAAAAGAAAAAGGAATTTATTAGTTTTTTTTTATATAATATTTAACTCTCTTGTTTTGACGTGACTTAACTCACTTAAATTTTCTTGTATATATTAATTAATTAATAAATCAAGTAGCCCTTGTCGAAACCTCAATCAATTCACTCATACGTTAATTATAGAATTTTAATACAAATTCAATCGTTCCCGGTAAATCTTCCGGGGATATTTAAAATAATCCGTGAGAAAGGATGCAGTAGAGGAAGGGAGACGGAAGACACTGACATTCCAACATTTGATTCATCAACCATATGCTATTTGCAGGAACGGCTTAGCAAGACACAACAAACTGGAGTTGGCTTTGCACACAAGCACAATTGGCATGATTATGTTACACATACATTGTCGTTCACATTTTACGTAGTTCTAATAATTTCTTATCAGGATGTACATGCCAATGGGACAAAGAGAGTTGTAAAGAGGTTGTCCATGAACTGAGCAACAGTCTCAGGAGATCAAAACTGAAGTTCAGTTTAAAAACAAAGAAGTCTCAGTACAACTCTTGTAAGACATTTGGCAGTGACATTCAGCAAAAGGTGAAACTCTTGATTTATGAGTTCATGCCAAAGAGAAGCTTGGTCTACCTTATTTTGGCTCTTTTTCTTAACCATTCTAATTCATGGTTGTCTTTTGACAACTACAATCATGTACATTTCGAGCTAAACTTCGATGTTATTGACATCTCAGATGATGTAGCAGCAAATTAATAGATCGGACTACAGCTTCGAAATTATTAGAAGGATAGCCCATGACCTAGTTTTAAAGAAAAGCAAAGTCTTTTGGATTTCTTTTTATAACTCAGTCGGAAGCCTTCCGTCTAACCAAGCCATGCAAATTAAGTCCATTCATCTTAGCAGCGAGAATAAAATCATTCTGGGTCAGCCCACCTGCATAAACACGGATTCATATATGGATATAAACAAATGAATTACGATGTAAAAAATCAAGAAAATTAGGACTAGATTACACCGAAAAGGAAACTTGGGACAAAGTTAAACAGCGTTGGAAAGAAGCAATGATATTGTCCAAGCTAAAGTGTACTATACATGCTCTACTAATATTACAGATGCAAGTTGAATATGTATGTGGCGAAGCCCTTTTATTAAAAGAATTTCAAGATATGTAAGCTTATAGGCAACTAAGAAAATGTAATATGGCCAAACAAAACGACTATATGATGAAGTAATTACGTGTTTAATTAAAGTTTTAACTTGCATGGATACACAAACAAACACACCCAGAGAAAGAGAATATTTGTATTTTCAAAATTTCTCTCGAGTTAACCTAAAGATAAAACGTAAGACAACCACTCCTCGTCTGCACTTCTTTTCCTTGCAGTATCACAATACTACTATGTTGGAGGTGGAGGCTACTCGACGGATCGTGTGACAAACATAAAATCCAAATGTAATTTTAAAGGTAGCCAAGGAGCATACAGTTTTTCCTTCTCTCCAAATAGGTAGAAAATAAAAATTATTGGCTTTCCAGAGAAGCAAATTAGTAACATCGCAACCAGGAATTATTTTCTTTTCTTTAACCCTTAAATATATCGGTTAAAATGTACTCTATATAGAGCTTAATTTGATACATGGTGCATATGACAAATAAATAGGAATCAATCTGGACAAAAATCATATCACTGGTAGCCAGCGTTGTGCCTGTGCCGCGGGTTTCATTAAATATATCTTCATTACACTGGGTTCCAATTGTTTAGAAGTATTACATATCAGGTCATAGAAAGAAAAAATTAAAGAATCAAAGAAAAGATTAATGAGTTTTGAGAGAGAAAGGTGAAAATGATTTCATCCATACTCTGATTAGCGACTAAAAGACATTTAGACATTCAGTGAACCTAACAAACTGCTAAAAACATTTAGCTGTATCAAACTGTCTAAAAAAATGACTAAGCTACCCGTAACGGTCACTCTCAAATTGAATGTTTCGAAGGAAGAAACAGCGAGTTTAGACATGAAATGACCACACTGAGACTTGGACATAGCTTTGCGGAGAAAATCAGCTACTTGAAATTGAGAGGGAAGATGAATGACCCTCACTGCTGTATAACTTTTTCAAGAACAAAGTGAAGATCCAATTCAAAGTTTTTAGTGCAAGAATGGAGTGTAGGAGCTTAAATAGCAACTTGCAGTTCAGTTAGAAGGGACTGAAACCACAATAGATCAGTGGTTACGGCAGCAAGGCAGCTGTATCCAGCCTAAGTGCTGCTGCAAGACATAACAAATTGCTTCTTAGAAGACCAGGATACCAGATTGAGCCAAAGAAAATAAAATAACCTGTGAAGATTTCTAGTCATGAGAATGGTCAGAGTCACAGAATGCTTGAAACTGCAGGTCATGAGATTTAGGAAGACCACACGAATACATGAATTGGCATACTTTGTAACACAAAACAATAAGTCAGGTCAAGTGATAGTAACATATTCGAAAGCACCATCTATAGTTCAGTAAATAGAAGGACTGGGTTACTTATATTAAGCTGTAAGCTTGTTGAGGCAAATGAAAAATGTTTTGGTCTGAGATAGTATTAGACCAAAGGAACTACCTCAATAATACCCTAGTGTAAAGACCCAAAGGTACTTTGTTGTGAATTTCGAAAGGAGCTGAGATAAATTGACAGATTTCAGAACTGGAATTTACAGTTACAATCTTGTCAACATAAAATGAGTGTCATGAATGTAGAGATGGATAGGATGAAAAGAAAAGGGTCACTCTTGGCTGCAATAAAAGCCAAAAGAATGAAGAGCACAAAACAGTTCTTGAAAACAAGATCCAGAGACTTGTTTTAGCCTATAGATATAGAGAGCTTTTCATTATAGGTCAGTCTTGCCTAAACAAAATCTTCTAATATTATATTTCTCAGAAACCAGAATTGATTAAATAATTTGAACAATGACATATTCATACCCACGGAATGTGTCCAAATCTCTATGGTAACATTATTCCAGCCAACAAGATGAAGATCAGGATGATGACCTACATAATAAAACATCATTGTTAAACTTTCTATTTCTCTCATAACATCAATACATTCGGGAGTAGAGGAGGAGGGAAGTAGAAAGCGGCAGAAAATAATACCTTCAGCTTCAGCAAGATCACCTATTATCCTGAAAAATTCCAATCCTTTGGTAAAAGTCTTCACTTTCCATGATCTCCTCAATTTCAATACACCATCCTCGTTTACCAAATCCCAATCGACAACCTGATCACTTAATGTTAATAACAAATACATTGATACTTAATTGACGTAAGTTGAATCAAGGTGTTAAATAGTGCGCCAAAGCGTTGTAGCGGGGAGGTCGTAGCTGACCAAATAACGAGCTGAATAGAGGCGTTGATTAAAAAAGACCTCTAAACGTATGAATGCATTAATTTTGAGAAATTTTTATCATTTTTGAAACATATGCACACAAAGTGTACATTATATGAAATTTGTGAAATCAAGTTCAAAGTAACGGGTATCCAATAATCCCATAGCGTTTTCGAGTTGAACATTTTTAACAACACAATCTACACAAACCTGTGGAAGCAGAGTGCGTGCTTCATCCTGGGTCATGGGCTGCAAGTCCTTTGTATTGCAGGGTGCACACTTCTTAGCTGACAAGTCTGAAATAAAAAAGCAAAAATTGATGATCGGAACGTGTTATTATGAAACGCCTAAAGGGTAAGTTATATAAGTAGATAGAGCAGGCAAACACACCTTTGTTGGTAATGCAAAATGTAGCGGTTGTGAGAGGTGAAGAGGCTCCATGACAAATTTCAGAATTCATTCTAAACGCAACAGAGTGAAATCAGAGCATGTAGAACACATTGTTAAAAAACGAAGAAAGAGATTCAGATGAAATTACCCTCTCCGTGTGTATGAATAATAGATTTGGGAAAAGGGTTGTAATGATAACTTGGCGGCGGCAACAGATAAAGGTAGAAGAGGGTGGCGAAGAAGAAGAAGAAGGCGATTCATTTGGTAGAAGCAGCACAGAGGCTCAATACGAAGTTTTCAGTTCCATCCTCTTACGTTTTCAGGGCGTAGGCGTTCAGAAAGCAATTCAGTTGTTTCACATTTTCTGTTTTTATTTCCTCTTTTGCCCTCTCTCAGAAGGAATAAGTACAAGAAAAAAAAGTAATGAAGGAAGTACCGTTTTTGCCCCCCTGAAAATATTATCTCATTGGGCTTTGTGATTATTTCAGTAACATGAACAAAACTTCCAGATAGGTTTTATCTCAACTCAAGACTAAATAATAAATAAAACGGGAAGTGTAAATGTATTTTCTTAAGAAAAAAACGAAATTTGTAACGTTATTTTAATTATTTTGGTTATAATATGAAATACGATGTTATCTTTTAGTAGAAAATGTTCTCAAAATAAATCATAATTTATTTTAATTTTTAATAATTTTTATATTGTATGTTAGTATAAACTTAATTAAGGAAAAGAACATGACTTAAAAGATTAAGTTGGCAACGAAAAAAACCTTAAGAAATTAAAGTGTTACAACAAAATTTTAAATAACAAATTAGAAAACACCTCTGAATTTTAAGAACGCTATCAGTAAAAAAATAGCACACTTTTCTAACAATTTCTAATACTTACGTAGCTATTTATTTAATGTTTTTCTCTCCTAATTTTATGAGCAGCGGTACTTTGATACAAGAAACTTTGATACAAGAAAACAATAAACACGACACGGCTAAATAATAATATTTTAATTATAATTATATATTATTTTTTTAATTTAAAATCATAATTATATTATTAAAAATCGTGTCAAGAAATTTTTTTAAAGCCGTATTAAACTAACTTTTACTAATTTTATATATGTTTTGATAAACTATAACGAATTGTCTTAAAAGAAATATATTTCTAGTGTCTAATAATACAATAAACGTTTCAAAAATCAGCTTTTAGAAAGTATTATAACATTATAGATTTTCGTTTTTGGAATGTTATAAAATTAAGAGAAAACTGTCGAAATTACAAATTATTAAATCTGTTGATAATTATAAGAATTAGTTTAAAAACTTATAAAAAATAATCCAAAACTCGTGAAAAAATAATAATTAGTTTAAAAATCATATATATTTATGATGAGATAATAATATACGAGAGAAATTTTCTTATCTGTAGCATATTTCCTCCATTTATATCAGTATGTTGTTTAGATCAACCACAGATGAAGCCTGTGTTGTTTTCAATTTCATGTGCAGTGATCAATCCTATCATACACAACTTTTGACTAGTCCGTGCCTTCAGAATGTAGGCCCTAAGGTTTGTTCGATCGTTCTTAAAACAGTCAGTGGAGTAAAAGAAGTTGAGACTTAGTCAAAATAATACAACTCTGCCATGAAATTAAGCTTTCACACCCACAAAGAAAAGAGAGAGAAAATACTGAGTTTCAATTAAACATAGTTACACACTGCAACCAAACATAGCTAAGTAGAGTTGTCACATCACAATTGAGAAGATCAGCAGAAACTAGGACACAACAGTGCAACATATGAATACAGATTATCAGAGTAATTCAAGGATAAACTTCAATGAGTGATCTCATACCAAAGATGTTTGTTATCTTGTAATGACTGAATCCAGCTTCCAAGAAGAGTTTCTCCCATTCTTTTTCTTCTCTCTCTCTCCCCGTGACCACAACCATCGTAATCATATCAAAAAACAGCTTTGCTTCTGTTAATTCATGATTTTCATTCTTTTGACCAACTACTATGTCTATGATAATTACTTTCCCTGTCTTCCCCTTCTTTGAAACAGCTTCTTTGCATTTCTTCAGTACCTTAATGCATTCTTCATCACTATAAGCATGCAACACTAACTGCGACATGCATATTAACCAACTTAAAATATCTTCAAATCCAACTTAACATATGGTTTTGTAAAGATGAACAAGTTGCATACCTTGAGAAGAACCGCATCTGCTGGAGGAATGGACTGAAACATGTCACCTCCAACAAACTTCAAATTGGTACTGTCAGGCAAATTTTCAACAACATGTGGAAGATCAAGCACGGTCCATTGCAAATTAGGCAGTGACTCACAAACGATCCTACCCACACCTCCTTTACCGCCACCAACATCAACCAAGGAATTCAGTCCCTCAAAAACAGATTTACAGTTTTTCATAACCAAATTCACCATCCCGGAATCACTGACCATTGCTTCATTGAAGAGGCCGTTAAACTCTTGGTTTTGACTCAAATACTCCCAGAAACTCATCCCAAACGCAGTGTCACAGGGTGTGGTCTCGTTTCTGTGAAACCACTCTGGCAATGATTCTGATGAGTGAACTATAGCTGGATGAAACATTGCTCGAACAAAAGGAGACAAGGTTGGAACGTTGTCTTTAAGGAGTAGCCTTGAAGAAGGTGTGAGATCATACCCCACTTCTTCTTTATCATCTTTCACAACCTTGGTTGTTGCAAAGAAGCCAGCATGCACCAGCAAGCGCATGAGTCTATATACATGACCAGATTTTGTTGGTTGAATCTGAAGTGCCAAGACCAACTCAGAGAGAGTAATAGGTTTGCCATTCTTGAAGATTGCGTCTGGTATTCCCAAGTTAACTGCACTTTTGAGGCACATGGAAGCAACGAAACTGTAAGTATACTTGTATAAATGAGTCTGAGCCTGAAACAACTCTTCAACATCCATCTTTTCCAGAATTCTTTGCTTGGCTAAAAATCCTTATGCTTTTATGAGAAAATACATGAAATTTGTGGTCTGAATCAATTGACTGTTGGTTTCTAGTATTCATGATGTATTTGACTTCTGTGACATCTAGAAAAGAAAAAAAAAATGTTGCTTTCTTTTGTTTTTATCTCTTTGAATTCTCTATCTAGAATAGCGAAAAGATTGTCACTCTCTTCGCTCATATTTGAGTCATGGAGATTAAAAAAGGGTGTATTAACACTTAATATACATTTAAAAAATGAAAATAATAAATTTATAGAATATGTAAAAGAAAAATAAAAACAGAAAAAATACATAATAAATATAAATAAAATTAAAATATCTATCAATATTTTCCTTTAATTTTTTTCGTTGTTGTTTTATGACTATCTTTCTGAGTCACTTCTTACTTTCCTATAAATAGAACAAGTGTCCATGGAAAATCTAGAATAAATAATTTCTACCAAATTAAATTAATTCCAACAAACTCCGGTCGAACTAGTTTGGTGTTAGTGTAACACCCAAATAATTTAAAGGGTATTACTAGTAGTAAAGACTAAATTAATTTGATATCTGATATAAGCAATCAAACTTTATTTCAATTCTTCCAAAGTACAATTCCAAACTTACAAACTTTAAACATTATAGTCTTCACCACTTAACATAAATTTGAAATTAAACTTATAAGTCTTACACAACATATTTTTCCACTGCAAATTTATTCTTTTTACAAAAATCCCTGAAAGTTTTTCCCCGCATCTCTCTCATCATCTCTAAGTTTTTTCAACCGCATCTGCAACATTATTTTCTCACATATAACATGAGTTATATGATCATAGCACAAACAAATAAGGGTAAGCCAATCATATCATACTATCATTAAACTTACTTATAATATAAATGTTTCAATCATGTATTTCTGCAATTTATAAATACCATTATCCCGATGTCATTAATCCATTTTTTTTAACTTCTTCAAAATCCTCTTTCTCATATTCATAAACCTTACAAGTATACCATGCTTACTCACAAAGCCTTATGGTCAGACCGCTCTCTGCCTGCTTCCTTAAGCCTTACCTGTATACTATGTCTTACTTTCTGAAGCCTTATGGCCAGACCTCTCTCTGCCTGCTTTTATAAAACTTACGAATCATATATTTATGTCAAAGCCTTATGGTCATACCACTTTCTGCCTGCTTTCATAAACCTCGGGTGTTACTTTGCTCATATCAAGCTCTTATGGTATAAACCGAACATGCTACTCCCAGTAGTAAACATCATTTCATAAGTAATGATTTCTTATATTCACTCCAACATTTCATAAAATCAACAATTCAAATCCTCTTATCCACCTAACTCAATCATGTTCATTCTTTAATCATAAATTGACAATAACCCGTTTTGGTGTCAATAAATTAAACATATTGCCAGATATCATACTTCATATTATAAACTCATTTTTTCCCATAACGAGTATAACTCAACATATTTTCACCAATCAAAGGTCATAGATCAGCCAAAATATATCAACATATCTTAGGAACTACATATTAAAGTTTGGGCTCAATGTAACGATAAATGAAATATATATGAAGTTTTTACCATGATAACTTAAGAACAAAAATATAGTGTTCATCATACTTTTCAAAATTTCGAAATTTATTTCTCAACACATAGACTTCTAATTACAAATCCGAACGGTCAAATTATAGTAATATATCTTAGGAATCATACATCAAATTTTCAGGTTGATCTAACGTTCAAATAAAACAAAATCTATATTTTACCGAGAGGACTCAGTAACACAATAACGGAGTAATTAATTTACTCAAACATGTAGAACTTATTTCTCCAAGTACACACTCTTAATTAATGATCCGAACGGTCCAAATGAAAAAAATAGGTCTTAGGATTCATATATTAAAATTTTAGCTAAATCCAACGGTAAAAACAATTAAAAGGAATGTTTTACCACAATAACTCGAAAATTATAATCATGAAAACTAAATTTACACAAGTGAATAGATAACTACCATTATCAAAATTTTAACATGTTCATAACTCATATTCATGATCATAATATGTATAAATATCATATGTAAGAAAGGATTAGCTCCCCTACCATCAAAATAATCTTAATATAAAAATTCAGGGGAAACAAGAAGTTGAATCTGGCAGAGCCGGTTAGACAACTTCCCATCCTTCCAGAAAGATGCAATAAAAAAAATAGATAAAACAATAAAATTTCTGGGGAAACAAGAAGTTGAATCTGGCAGAGCCGGTTAGACAACTTCTCATCCTTCCAAAAATACAATATAAATAAGAAATAAAAGGTCTGGGAAACAAGAAGTTGAATCTGGCAGAGCCGGTTAGACAACTTCTCGTCCTTCCAAAAATGTAAAGAGATAAGGAACAATAAGAGCTCTGCGGAAACAAGAAGTTGAACCTGGCAGAGCCGGTTAGACAACTTCTCGTCCTTCCAACAATACAAAAGAAACAAATAAATGTTATGAGTAACAATAACGTACAATTAGCATAACATAATCAATATCACGTTTTACAACTATCAAACTTGGTCTCATCACAGAAATATGTTCTCATTCAAAATTCAAGATTATCCAGAAATAAAATACTCCATATTCAAGATTTAAGATTAGACAAAAGCAAAGTATTGTATACTCAAGATTCAATAGTAGCTTCCCTTACTTGATTCTCCCTCCTTTCTGAATGAAGAACACTTTTTCAGAAGCTCTCGCTACCTTCTCTGCAACTCAGATTATATTCCTAATATCTCCTTATTTTTTACAAAAGTCTTACTCAATTTCGCTCTCATCCTCTAAAACTTCATTTTTCACCCCTTTTTATAGTTGAAGTTAGGGGTTACTGTAGTAGTATTGTAGCAGTACTGTAGCAGTACTGTAGCTGTACTACAAGTACTGTAGCTGTACTACTATTCACTGTAGCAGTACTGTAGCTTGTACTACATTTTTCCTGTAGCAGTACTGTAGCAACACATGATTCACGAAATATTTTTACTGTAGCACTGTACATATTTTACTGTAGCACTGTACATATTTTACTGTAGCATTTATACATAAAATTATTTTTTTATTTCAAAAATATCTACTATCTTAATTTCAACAAATTTCAAGGGTCTTACAGTTAGTAATAAAAGTGTTCTTAACTGCGTCGGCGTTAGAATAAATGTATTTTTTAATACTGAATAGATAAAGTTCTTTTTCCAAAACTAAATTAAAATTCATAGAAAATAACTTTCGCAAAGAAAAATATTTTTTCATCAAGAAAATATAAATATCAGTCATTTTGTTTTGCAGCTCTCAATCACACAGCTAAAAATGAAAAATAAACTTATGCGGTTAGATATAGACTTTGATCTTAAACTATTGTCTATAGTTACGTGAATATTTCAAAAAATATCACTGTATAATTATAGGTTTCGTTTTTTCTTAGAAGCGAAACATAATAGACAATATCAAATCTTGTTTTTGTATTATTGAATATCAACTCGTTAAAAATGTGATTGCATCATTAAAAACTTTATTTCTTTAAAAAATGTCATAGTACCCATGCGGTCATGATTTAAATAAACTTTGATTATCTCAAAGTATTGTTTATAGTTATGTAAATATTTTAAAAAATTATATTGCATAATTATAAGCTTTGTTTTTTTAGAAGCGAAACCTGTTAGACAATATTAAATCTTATTTTTTCATTATTGAATGTCAACTCGTCACATTAATAAAATTTGTAATATTCAGTTAGATTATGTATGACTAGAACAAATTTATTAAATGAAGTGTAATTAGATATACCAAGTGTATAACTTTTTATTGTAAAAATTAATAAATAGTTTTCTATAGTAATTTCTAATAATTACATAATCGTTTTAAAAATTATCTTTTAGAAGGTATTAAAATTATAGATTTTTGAAATGTTATTAAAATTATGTGAAAATAGGTTAGGAATCATAGTATAAAACAATTGTATGCAATCTTCAAACACTACAAATTATTAATTTTGTTGATGCTTATAATAATTAGTTTAAAATCTTAAATAATTTATTTGAAAATTCGTGAAAAAATAATTAATTTAAAAATTATATGAATAGATAAATACTCATCAAGTATTGGTATACTTTATTTTTAGCATAGTAAAGAAAATTAAAGTATTTTTGGTTTTTAAGCTGGTATCCAGCCAAGTTCGACTAATATGAAGAAATGATCAGTAGAAAAATATTAAAAATAAGAGTTAGTTTGAGATTTGTTATCGTGATTGAATGAGTCTTTTGGTTTTATCAAGAACTTGATAGTTGAATATCAGGGTTTGCGATTTTTTTGAAAAAAAATTGTATAGAAAGATTTTATGTTTTTGCTAAAAGAATTGCACAAGATAGTTTACAGTTTTTGGGAGAAAAATTACCGTATAACTTAGTTAAAAAAAAATGAATAATTGATTTAACAGCTGTCATAAAAATTCATTAAGTTCTTTGTCGGGTGTATGGAGGATTAGAACAGTGTTGTATTATTAGAATTTTGTTGGAAAAAATTATATAAGAAGGTCTGTAACTGTTGTTAGAAAAAAATGTATAGAAAAGTTTCCACTCTTTTGCAAAAAAAATGTTTATAATTTTTTTTTTTAGAAAAATTATATGTTAAGTAATAATGTTTTTAAGATTAATTACATATTAATATTAATTTTTTCTCTCTTTGTGATAATTAGTAAAAATAAAAGAGATTTACAGTTTTTGATAACCAAATTCACCATCTCGTAATCACCGATGACCTATTCATTTCACTAAAATGTGATTTAAGACTTAAAAAAACTTTTGCACATTCTTATCACATATTTTCATGCCAATTTTTTTTTTATCGTTCACGAGGTCTATTGGTTTCATATGAAACTAATAATTAACTTGTTAGTTTCTTAACAAAAAAACATTATAACAAATTTATTTATTTTTAAATATATTTTTATTGACATTTTGATACATTATTACTAGTGTAACCGACCTTCTAAAATATGTAATAATGCAAATTCTGTATAATTTAGATACTTGAATATGAAATAACGAGAGTTTGATTTTTGAGTTTGCATTTGCAGAGGGGTGAGGGGAAGCAAAGAGTGCGCGAAGTGTGAATAATCAACGAAATGCTGCCATTGACTTGAACGCGTTGCGTTCTTGCTCTTCAAGAAAACCAACACCTTAAAACAACTCCAATAGTATTTAGCATTTGGTGTGTGTATGATTCATCGTTTGATTTGAATTGATTAGGTTAAAGTTTAGGTATGGTGCTCCCACTTTTGAAACTCGGAACGCTGGCATTGAAAACCCTAAGCAAACCCGTCGCTAGTAGATTGAAGCAGCAGGCGGCTTTTCACCCCAGGTTTCGCCAACTCATCGTTAACATGGCTCAGGTTCCTTACATTCCCTCCAAATTTAATTCTTAATCAACTTTCCCACTCATTCGTTCTTCAGTTATTGATTTACGATTTTGGGGATCAGACAAATCATCAAATCACCACGAGGATGCAACGGCGCATCTATGGTCACGCCACCGATGTTGAGATTCGGCCCTTGAATGAGGAAAAGGCTGTTCAGGCTGCGGTTGACCTTATCGGAGAACTCTTTGTCTTCTCGGTCAGTGATTTTAATCTTGCATTTTTCTAAACAGTTTGTAGCTATTATGATGTTCAATTTACCCATGATTTCACTCTGGAAACAGAGTTTTGATCAATTTTTGTTGATTACTTGTGTTGAGTTGCCCATTTTATGAACATTCTCAGAAGTATGAATCTATTAGTATTCTTTTGTTCTGTTTTCACAAAATACAGAATAGTTGTTCAGTCAAGTATTGAATTATATGTTAATTCTATTTCTTCGAATAGGATTGTTATTCCAACAAAGTGATTTTAAGTTTAACTCCACCATACAAATTGACTGTCTGTAGAAATGGGATCACCAACACCTCTCTCTTGATTACAATTACAGAGACATTTTGAACGTGAGATATCATCTTAAAAAGTGGATTTAGACTTAACTTAATCTTACAAAACTGAGATGAGATTTGCACTACTTGTATACCAATACCATAATTTGTCATATCTGTAACGAGTTCTCCAACAGTTCTAAATTTGGAATTTGGAGCGTCCAATATTGGTATGCTCATTTTTACTTGTGTTTGAGTTGAGATTACAAGGCTTTTGGAATTTAGCAAAACTCTAGAATTTGATATAGGTACTATGATACTTTGTTTTGATGATTTTCAGAGGGACAAACCCAATTATGCTATGCAGAAAAGCTATAAGAACAATTGATACAAGTTGTCGACTTTCAATTTAGTGCTACTTTGTTCTCAGTTGTTGGATTATATTGAGTTATGACTGTTCCCCCAAAAATAAAAGGGGTCGAGTAATGTCTGTTCAATATTCAGATAAATGGTTAAAAGAATTGCATCTAATTTTAGAGAATGGCAGAAAATGGTTACAGGAAGTATTCCAAAAGAAGACATGTAGGCAGAGAGGAAGAAGAGAGGATTTATAGATATAGGAAATTGATTACTGAAGTATTTTTTTAATAATAATTAAACAAAGATTCTTACAAACTTGAAATAAGAATGTGCTCATGATCAAAGGGCCAGATAAAATGCTTCTGAGTTGTGATCTTTCAAGCTAAATGTTTTCATCTTAGTTTAAAGATTCTTTCTCTAGAATTCTGCTTTGCAAACCAGAGCATTATAAATAGTCTTTTAAGGACACAAGACCTTTGGGGCTCGTTTTTGGTTAGTTATCTTGTTAAAACAAGCAAAGATCACGATGATCACCACTACAACAAAACAAAAAGAAACCCTGTTGTTGGGAATATTTTTCCTCTCAAACACAGGATAGGAGTACGTGAATAATTTTGTTATGTTAATAATATGTACTCTCAGGTATTGCATTTATTGTTTGCTGATTTGGCTATGTACTATACTCATAGGTTGCAGGAGTTCTCTTGATCTTTGAGGTACAAAGAAGTTCTAGATCTGAGGCAAGAAAGGAGGAGCTACGAAAACAAGAGCTTGAGGTAATTTCAAATAATAATCTCATGCAAATAGTTTTAACATTATGTGATTTCTTTGGTTTCAAATATGTCAAGTTCACTTTTTCTTAATTTAAGTTGCTATTTATTTATTTTAGTCTTTTTTTTTCAAATTATTTTATTCTTTTGTTTATGTCATTTCGCCCTATTTTTAATTTCCTATCATGGTTCCTGAGTTCATATGCTAAACATATTGCATGTTTTATCTGCTTCCTTTTTCCAATATAAAGGAGGATTTTATACCAATACCATATCATCTTGTGATATTATAGTTCTTTGCTTGATCACGGTTTTTACTGAAATCAAACAACTTGATCAAATTGAATACATGATTAATTTCATCTAGTGGTGTTGCTATTATTGAAGAATTATTCCCACTTTATGCTGAAGATTTTAAAAAGAAGCTAGTGGCTTGTGTATTCTCATGTTTAGTTTTAACTTAATAATAATTAATCTTTCAGATAAACAACTAACAATTGCTGGTATTTCAAACCTATCTGTTTACTTATATAACCTAGGTAGGAGCAGCTGAACTGTTTCACCAATATCACTTTGTGAGTCATAATAAAAGTTCTAGAGGGCTGAGAGGAACCTATGATAGGTTACTATACACAGGTTTCCATATTTGAAGATGTCTAGATACACAATTTCAAACTTCTCATTTTTTTATTGATTCAAATCCTACATTTCTCTGTTGGTGCGTCTATCATTCTTGCCCAAAGGTTGCCTTAATGTCTCGTGATGTGTATTTTATTTAAAAGCTTTATTTGGCATGGCTAAGTCGACAGTCATTCTAAACTTGAGAAGGATGTTCATAAGTGGCTTGTACTAGGCCTTTTTGTGAAAACTCTAAAAGAGGACAATATCAATGTTGGAGTGGATATTCTGAAAAGTCTGAATTGTATAAAACAAGGATAGTTTTTTTGGCTAAGCAGTTTATTTATTTCAATAATTCACGGCAATTTGTCCTTCGTCTTGCTCTAGAATATACAACCACGCTAAACTCATTGTATTCACTGACATTGGTCCCAATTCAGGCTAACTGGAAGAAGTTATTTAATTGTCAAAATTTCATATTTAACATTCTCTAAACGTTTGTTTTACTTTAGGCTGTGAGGCAAAAAAATGAGAACTTGGCAGAAGAAGTGGAACTTCTTAAGCAAAGAATTCAAGAACTGGAACAGATGGCCAGGGGACGAGGACTGACTGGCATTCTAAACTTCAGACAAGGTAATACAGAAATTGGAAAGGCGGAGAAAATTGCTTGAGCTGATGTTCTGATAAACAGAATAATTATTTATGACATTTTTTTCATTCGTCTTCGCGATGAATGTCAAGCTTAATCTCTGATTCATTTGAGGGTCTCTTCAAGAGGAGCCTATTTTTTAAACATTCATTTGCTTCTAATGAAAGAGTTCAATTATCTTGCTTTGTTGGGGATAACTCGCAGATTGAAATTGTATTGTCCCAAATAAGTGGCAGATAATTCATAGAGACTAAGAGGTGACGCACTCAATTGAGCATAAAATGTGTCATCTCAAATATACCCTTTGCCTTCTCAATCCACTTGTTATTATTCTTTAAAAAGAAAAGAACATTCGCTCTTCATGAATTCACTTTCTCTCATTCACCACAAATGATCAATTGACCTTTTAGCTGTGGTGTGTTTGGATTTATCTGCAAAATGACAAGGACATCATCATGTCCTGATTAGTTTAAACATGCTGTAGAATTTATTTCAGCAATATATATGTGTTCGAGTTGAAGTTTGGTGACAAGATACACATCCAATGCATTTGATTGTCAAATTGATTGCGAGCACAACCACCCACTCCACTATACCCTCTTCTATCAATGTTTGGTTTGGGAAAATAGAGGGTTATGGACATGACATGTGGATGGATGGTCCGACCGAATGATAAACCATGGGATGCAGGTGGATATGGTATCCATTCAGCAGTGCCCCTGTAAAGCTCTTCCATTAAGAGAGGCATCAAAACAGGAATATGTTGGACGGTAGTGGAGGAGCACTTTATTCTTTCCTTACCCTCATTTCTTTCACCCATTCACCCAATCGAAGATTTTCGTCTTAATTTGTATTATTTGCCAAGAAAAGAGGAATCTCTGTTTTGTCTTTAATTTTTTGTACAGTTTGCCATTCTTCTCTCCCTTTTTATACCATATCCTTGAAACCAATAGTTGCAGGAAATTAAAAAACATTATGAAAAACCAACGGGGAAATTTGAATAAAGAATAAAAAGGAAAACTTGTTTGGTGAGCCAATTCCCTTTTCATTAATGAGACCAAAAGTCCTTTTATTCTTCATACGTTAATTATTATTGTTGTACACAAAAAGAAGTTTGATTTACGTTGTTGCATATGTTTTTCATGACTCGCGACTAAGAAAATAAAGCAATATATAAATCCGTTAATTGCATCAACTTGGTAACAATCAATTTATGGACCACTTTCTGTATGATCTATGCTATCTAACTTGGTGAGTGACAATATTGGGGTAGTTATGGGACAACGACATCCCGTATAGCAAGAGAAAAACATCTTTTTGTACCTTTAAAAGGTCCTTTTTAATTTTACGGTAAGCATTATGTTTTATATTAATTTTGGAAAAATATGTTTTACGTTTTTATAAAATTTCAAATAAATCAAATACTTTATCCCATTTTTTTTTTATTATAGTCGTTTCTTTAAAATTTTAACATGTCTTTTTTGGATGGAAAGTTAGTGATGACTTTGACATGCAAACTTTGTTGTTAAAGTGAATTTGGTTAGAAGAAAATCTAATACTAACGGTAAATTTTTAATATATTGTTATTATTAATAAAATTATACAAAATGTGCAAAATTTTGTAGATCTAAATATATATTTAATGTTTCGAAGGAAAAAAAAATAATACAATTTTTTAAATAACGTATTTAATATTTTAAGAATTTTACATGGATTCAAGACGTTATTATCCTAAATTTTATACTTCTTTTTGTTATGTTATTTTTTGCGACAATTGATACCGTTTTACTTATTAATAAATTTTTTAATATATGTAACATAGTAGTACTTGTCAATAACTATTATGACTATTTGGCACCAAATTATTAGCCTAGTTCCATTAGTACAATTGAAATATATTAAAAATATATCACAAGGTAAATATCTTTACCATATCTTCCTAAAAAAGTATATCTTAGTTTAAATAAAAGATGTGCAAATTATATTTCTGAATCCAGCTCATGGATAGAAAAATTTATGAAAGTTTTTCCTTTGTAACTATAAAAATACAAAATAATGGAGGTTATAACCGTTATTTTGGGTAAGACATTGGGTATATTTAATATTATATATTCAGCAACATATATTCCTCCATCTTCAATTCACTGTAACTGCAATGTCCCTATGCTTTTTTCTGTTTTGTGATTATCCCCTTTCACACGCTGATCTCATCAGTTGAGAGAGGGAGGAAAATGGAGTTTCTCTCTCTTCTCCCTTTCCATCTCTTTATATGAGTTTCTCACCTTAAATCTTATTCTGAAGTGAGAGAGTATTGAACCTTAAGAGTTCTATCTTTAATAGAAAATTTGGAGTCTCAGGTGAGTGTGCATGAATTTTCTTTTTCTGAATCGGGTCTGGGTCTCTTGGCTGAAACTGCGACCATGACATTGGTTGGTTTTGCTTTCCAGCATTTAGTTGTGTATTCCTGTTCATTCGTACTAATAGTCTTTTTGCTTTGGAGATTGATATTGTTTTATGATGCCTTGTTCAATGTTTTTTTATTGGTTTTGATTAATCTTTTTTATTTCCTTATTTCCAATTGTTCAAGTTGTTTCTAGATAATTTTGATTATTTGATCTCTATTTATGCTTTTGTTTTCATCAGAATATGAGCTCGTGATCCTGCCATTTTGATTTTAGTTAATAAATTGAAAATGGGGGGTGAATCCTTTACTATGATTTGATTTAACTTTGTGATGTGGATGTTAGAATCTTGGTTTTAGAATCTCTGGACTTTTGGGGTGGGGTGTGTGAGCTGGAATATGCTCCTGATCAATGACAGTGATCATGATAAACTTGGAAGTTGTTTGCATCTTTTAATTTTCTCTCTTTCTCCGGTTTTTGTGTGGTAGACTGAAACTTGGTTATATAGGTGATCTCAGGGTCTTAAAGGAAGGAATTGAAGTTTTGTGATGAAGAAAATTTCCAAGAGCAGCTGCAAGTCCGCATCACACAGGCTCTTTAAAGACAAGGCAAGAAACCATGTTGATGATCTACAGGTCATGTTCTTGGATCTGCAGTTTGCCAGAAAGGAGAGCCGAACGATTGATGTGGCACTCCTTGAGGAGCAACTCCATCAAATGCTTCGTGAGTGGAAGGCCGAGCTCAATGAGCCTTCTCCAGCTTCTTCTCTGCAACAAGTAAGTTTTTCCAATTGTGAATTTGTGGCTGACACGTGTGAACTTTGAATGACAATATTCATGGTGAGGAATGATGAGTTGTTGTATGGTTGACTATAGGGTGGTAGTCTTGGTTCATTCTCGACCGATGTCTATAGGCTATTGCAGCTCTGTGAGGAGGAAGATGATGCCACTAGTCCATTAGTTGCACCTAAGCCTGAACCTAATGATCAGACTATGCAGCCTGGAGCTAGGGTGATAGTTCAAGAGGTGTGTGTCCTCTTCCTTTTGGGATCATTCATCCATTTTGGCCATAATTCATTTATTTTTAGCCTTATTTAAAATTTGTAGATAGAATAGTGTGTGCTTCAGAATGGTTGATCTCTTCTAAGGCAAAGTAAAAATAAAAGATTATAACTTGACATCTTCTCCTTCACGTGGTAGGCTTTTCTTTTAATGTATTTTTCTAATATTCCCTTTTCAAATGACAGAAGAGTGGCTTTGATTATTTAGTCCTTTGTTAGAATTAAGACAGTTCACCCCTAGAACTCTAAGTCCAATTTTCGTTCGTATAGTACTACGCTTTCAATGCCTGTCCGCATTTTGGCTATCGGCCATAGTTGTCATGAATTTCTTGGGTTAACTGAAATCAGGGCCAGCATGAACAAGAATTTCTATTACTTAAAGAATGCAAACACTCCGCAGTAGGAGTTCCCAACATGGAAGCTAACAACTTGGACGGACCTGCTTTAGAACTTCATCAATTTGAATTCAATAAGGACTTGGATCACAGCTTTTATGCCGGTACAGGATTTTGTGAGGAAGGTGGTGTTCCTCATATATCTAGCTATCTTCCAAGTGCGTGTCCTCCTCCTTCTGCTTTCTTAGGTCCAAAATGCGCACTTTGGGACTGTCCAAGACCTGTTCAAGGGTTGGACTGGTGTCAAGATTATTGCAGTAGCTTTCATGCTGCTCTTGCTTTAAATGAAGGACCACCAGGCATGACCCCAGTTCTAAGACCTGGGGGAATTGGACTCAAGGATAATTTACTTTTCGCAGCTCTTAGTGCAAAGGCACACGGAAAAGTTGTTGGCATCCCAGAATGTGAGGGAGCAGCAACTGCAAAATCTCCATGGAATGCACCTGGTAATTTAAAGTTGATGTCTCATTATCACAAACAATTTACTTAGGATCACCAATCGTGTATATCATTCCATCATAACATTATATATGATAAGATTGTTGACTCTTGAAATGATTGGTCTAAAGACTATGTGCAATATCAATATAAAGAGTTTTTTCGAAGTCATTCTGTCAAAAATAGCCATGTATATTAAGTTTGTTGATTATTATAGTTACCTTGAAAGTCATGTCCCACATGATTTCTGATTGATTGGCCATGCAACAACACTTTACACTCTCAACTCAAAAACTAAATTGTATTTTAAAGGTTATATACTTTGTGTGATTTGTGACGCTGCAAAAAAAAGTTGAGAATAACATTGCTGTTGTTAAGTACTTAAATAATTTCTTATTCGCTTGCAGAACTCTTTGATATTTGTGTCCTGGAGGGTGAGACTATTAGGGAGTGGCTTTTCTTTGATAAGCCTAGAAGGGCTTTTGAGAGTGGGAACAGAAAGCAGAGGTCCCTGCCGGATTACAGCGGGCGTGGATGGCATGAATCTAGAAAACAAGTGATGAATGAGTTTGGAGGGCTGAAGAGATCCTATTACATGGACCCTCAGCCTCTGAACCTTTTTGAGTGGCACCTTTACGAGTATGAAATTAGCATGTGTGATGCATGTGCCTTATATCGGTTAGAACTTAAGCTTGTTGATGGGAAAAAGAGCTCAAAGGCAAAGATAGTAACAGGTGATTCGGTTGCTGATCTGCAGAAGCACATGGGAAGCCTCTCTGCTGAGTTTCCCGATAGTAACAAACGGTCTGCCAAAGGTAGTAGAACCAAGCTTGGCATAGGAGGTGGTGTTTATTCAGCTTCTAACAGAGCTGCTCTACTAAATGCACCTTATCAATACGGCTTAACTGCACCATATGACTTTGTTGTTGACAACACAAGTGACTATATGTGACATCATTGATCTTACATAACTTTGCCTTTTTTTTTCCTTTTTCTTCTTAGGAACAACAAGACAAGGGGGTTTTTTTTCCTTGTCAAAACATTGTGAATAGTTCATTCTCACAGGAGTAC